ACTCAGACCTTTCCCCTCCCCCCGCCGCCTCTCTCATCAGCAATGAGGAGCAATTTGAAGACTATGGAGAAGGGGATGACGTGGACTGTGCCCCCAGCAGCCCCTGCCCTGATGATGAGACCAGAACCAATGTCTACTCAGATCTAGGATCGTCAGTGTCTTCCAGGTGGCCCCCTTGCTCTGGGTTGGCATTTGGTGTCCAGAGAAAATAGCAGAACCAGTCAAACATCATCCCAGTGGATCAGATAGGCACAGACCATCCTTCCCTCTGCCCAGGACTACATGGCTCTACTGGCATGTGGGATGCCCCCTTCTCCTAGCCTGATTGGGGGTCAGGTTTGTCCTTTCCCCTGTTATCTTGGAGAAGAAACAGTTAAATGATCTGTGAGTCTGAAGACCCCTGGAGGGTTCTTATGTCATCATGCTTCCTAGAACCTCTGTACTAAAGGGCCCTTCCAAGTGACCTTCTATGGCCCCTTCTCCCCTGCCTGAGTCATTCCATCCTGTGACATGAGCTCTCAGTATGCCCTATGTGTTAATTGGGTTCATTTCCCCAGCTTTCAACCACGGGGAAGGGATGCTCTGATTGATTTCCATTTCTCTGTCCCAAAGTACCAATAAAAGCCTTGGGGAACTAGGTAGAGGAAGCTAAGCAGAGTGGGCAGGGCACAGCCTGCCAGCAGCCTAGAATGACACCCTCTCCTCCTCTTGTCCAGTGCGGGGCAGACCCCAAGGAAGATGCGGCACGCCTACAACAGTGAGCTGCTGGATGTGTATTGCTCTCAGTGCTGCAAGAAGATCAACCTGCTGAATGACCTGGAGGCCCGGCTGAAAAACCTAAAGGCCAACAGGTGAGGCTGCAGTCCAGAGAGGCGGGGCCAGGCAGGGTAAGCAAGGCAAGCCCCCCTGTGTAGGCAGGTATGTGGGTGTCCGAGCAGAGTCGGGTGTTTCCTGCAGCACCTTGGCACCAAGCTGATGAATGATGTCCGTTCAAATCCAGTGCCCCTCTGTTCAGTGACTGTGTCCCTCTCTCTCTCTCTCTGTAGCCCCAACCGGAAGATCTCAAGCACAGCTTTCGGACGGTAAGACCCTCTTGGGAGACAGCAAGCTGAATGCTTTCTACCTTCGCTCGCTTCTGCTGTCCTAGGGTTCGGGCTTTGTGACGGCAGCTCAGATTCAGCCCGTGCCCTGTATGTAGCCAAGCAAGCCAACTGCTATGAAGCCATCCTTTCCTGCCCTTGCCACCTTGCCCCCACTTAGCAGGGCCAGCATCTGTAGATCCTCACTGCTTTAGCTTTAGTGGGCTTTCTAGGATGCCCAGAGGACCATAGTCCAGCCCATGGCTGTTGGTGCCTTCTCTTCCATGAAGGACAGGGCTTGGGGAGTGCTCTTTCCGATTCTTAGAATAGACAGTCTCTTGGGTGAGAAGGTTAGGTGGAGTGTTCCTCCTATGACCTCCTTCCTGGCAGCCCAGTACCGAATACTCACTTAGCCCATAGCCTGCGTTGGGGCCCCAGACTGTGGCAGACTTGGCAGGCAGGTGCCCTCCACCCCCACAGGCAGCTCATGCACAACAGTAACTTCAGCAGCAGTAACGGCAGCACTGAGGACCTGTTCCGAGACAGCATTGACTCCTGTGACAATGACATCACAGAGAAGGTGGGCCCTGGGACCCTGTGCATGTCACTGGGATGTATGGGAGTGGTGCTCCAGGCTGCTGCTCTCTGGGGACTTGGACTGTGTGCCCACCGAGGAGATGAGGGTGGGGAAGGGCACTGGTCATATACCTCTTCCTCTCCAAATATGTCTGCTCTTTTATTTGTAGTTATTTGGAGATCCTTGTCATGAGCTTTTCTAGATTCTCAGTTCTGTGCTTCTAAAGCCTTTTCTATTCTGTTTCACCCTGCATACTGCAGGTGAGCTTCCTGGAGAAAAAGGTAACAGAGCTGGAGAACGACAGCCTGACCAGTGGGGACCTGAAGAGCAAGCTGAAGCAGGAGAATACTCAGCTGGTGCACAGGTCAGCCGCAGGGTGGCTCCAGGGAAGGTGAAGTGTCCCCATCGCCAGCAGAGAAGCCCTGATCCAGACCTCATAGTACTGCTCAGGGCTGGTGACTCTCGCTGCGTAGAGCAGTGGTTCTCAACCTGTAGGTCTCCACCGCTTTGGGGTTGCATATCAGATATTTATATATGATTCATGACAGTAGCAAAATTACATTTTTGATGTAGCAACAGAAATTTTCTGGTTGTGGGTCACCACAACACAAGGGACTGTATTAAAGCGTTGCAGCATTAGAAGGGTTGAGAACCACCAGACTAGAGTGACTAGAACTCTATCTCCCTTCCTGGGAATATGCCCTGTGGTTGGGAGTGGAAGGGAGGAGGAGGGCCCAGGTGGCACAGGTATGGCCAAGTGGTGGTGGTATGGATAGACAGCAGGGACACCGGAAAGGATGCTATCCTATGCTGGCTGGCTGGCTTCCCCAGGTGCAAGAAACTTGGTAGACTTCTCTGGGTCTGCTCCTTCCCCCATAGCCTTTCTGTATGCCCCAGCTCAGCACGATGACTGTGAACTGTTGGACAACAGTAGGCTTCCAGTAGTCGGGGTTAGGTTATGACCCCAAGGGGCCTGACCTTTTCGTGGCTCTGGATTTCTTATGGCCTTACCAGGATGTGGCTGAGTTATTGGGGGGAGGGGGGCTGCGTAGCTGTGGCCAGCCTGCTGCCCTCCGTGTCTCCTGTGTGACCTCCGTCCCCTCTGGAGCTTCTTCACTAGATCTGCTTCCCTTGAATATAAGAGAGACACTTCTTAGATGTCACAGCGTCCCTAATTTACCTGTCAGCCAAGCTTATTGCCCCGTTGGCCTGGCAAACCCACCACATCACAGTCAATATGTAGGGGGCTTTGGCAGGCTCCAGGCCTTCTTGAATGGGGTGAGAGCACATGAGAGCTTGCCCTGACTGTGCTTGTTCATGCCCCACCTCAGGGTGCATGAGCTGGAGGAGATGGTGAAGGATCAAGAGACCACAGCAGAGCAGGCACTGGAGGAGGAGGCCCGGCGACACCGTGAGGTCTACTGCAAGCTGGAGCGGGAGAAGAGCACCGAGCTGGAGCTGCTCAACACCAGGTAGGCACTAGGCCTTCTGCCCCCTGTTCCCCCTGTGCCCCTCTGCCCTGGCAGCCCTTGAGTAGTGCTGGCCCCAAGTGTTTCCGGTAAAGCTGAGCCTACTGTTCTAGCATTTGTACTTCAGATACTTTAAAATCACACAGGCCGGTTCTTCAGGGAGGAGGCAGGATGCATGTTCATGGAACCTGGTCACTGAGCAGAGGAAGCTGCAGAGGCGGATCATAGGCAGGGCTGGAATCTCTGTGGCTGGGGCTCCCCCTGCTGTCAGATCCTCCCTTGCATTTATTTGAACATTCTATCTTGGAGATAGAACCCTATCCAAACATGAAATTCCTTACTATTTTTGTTTTTGTTTTTTGAGACGGGGGTTTCTCTGTATAGCCCTGGCTGCTCTGGAACTCTCTCTATAGACCAGGCTGGCCTTGGAATCACAAAAATCCACCTGTCTCTGCCTCCCGAGTGCTGGGATTAAAGGCTTGCACCATGACCACCCCCTCACACACACCCTCTAGCACCTTTGTGTCTAAACAAAGGGCTGGGGAGATGGCTCAGTGGGTAAAGTGCTGGCCATAGAAGACTTCTGATTCCCAGAACCCACATAAAACCAGACACAGAAGTGTGTATTTGTAATCCCAGTGTTCTACAGCAGAGATAGGAGGACCCCCAAAAGTTGGAGGGCCAATTGGCCTGACAAAACCAACAAAAGATCCTGTCTCAAACAAGGTAACTTCCACATTGCAGTGTGGCACATGTATATCCACACACAGGGCCATGCGCACACACTGTATACACACACAAAATTAAAGAGTAACTTATAGCCTGAAAGTTATTGTTATTGCATATATTATATATATGATAAGATATGTGATATATATATATATATCGTGTGTGTGTGTGTGTGTGTGTGTGTGTGTGTGTGTGTGTGTGTATGTGTGTGTATGTGTATGTGTATGCGCACACACACACCACACTGGCATACTGGCGGGCAGCCTTATCTTGTAACTCTGGCTGCCTGGAACTCACTATGTAGACCAAGCTGTTCGACAGCTTAGCAGAGATCCACCTGCCTCTGCATCCCAAATGCTAGGATTGAAGACATGAACTGTCACTGTTGGCTAATAATTTTGTACATGAAACAGCTTCATGATGATATGGGATTTTAGCTTGTGGCATCATGTCATTGCTCAAAAAGTTTTGGATTTTGGAACATTTTGGATTTTTGGGTCAGGGATGCTGGACCTGAATTATTCTGAATTTTTTATTTTTGTCTCAGTGTTTCTCTCAGTTGGTAGTTTCTTTCTTTCAGAAGCAGAGACTGGCTGCTTTCTCTGTAAAGTCATTTCCACTATAGATCCTCAGATCTGTCATTTTTGTTTCCCAGAGTACAGCAGTTAGAAGAAGAAAATACTGATCTGAGAACAACGGTGACTCGACTTAAGTCACAGACAGAGAAACTGGATGAGGTGAGCCTTGGGTCCCAGCATGGTGTTTAGTCCATGGAGAGTTGATGGCTGTTAGAGGGCCTTTAGATTGTAGTCTCTGGAATACTAAAGTATTTCCCTACAGAGAGAAAGAAACGCCAGGGTATGGGGATACACACCTGTCACCTGTCAATCCTAGCACTGAGGCAGGCAGTAGAGGCAAGAGCCTGCAGGTGACATGGCCTCTGCCGGGTCATCCTTTGCTGCATAATGAAATTTGAGGCTAACCTGGGGTACATGAGAGTTTTGTCTTAAAGATAAAAACAAAAGTAATTTGTTTTGTTTTTAGAGATAGTTTCTCTGTGTAGCTTTAGAGACTGTTCTAGAACTCACTCTGTAGACCACGCTGGTCTTGGATTAAAGGTGTGCTCCACCACCACCACCCAGCATAAATTTTTAATTAATTAAAGAGGGAGGAAAAGTGAATGATGACTTTAGTTTCTGAATTTACAAAATTCCAAGTTTTCTACAGTGAAAATAGAATCTGTATTATATTATAAATGTCTTATATTGTGGAATTGTTTTTGTTGTTTGTTTTTAAGAGGGTGTTTGGGTTCACAGCTTTTTCTTGAGCTCTGCCTGACACCACTGAAGGACATCTGGGGCCTAGGGTGTTTCCTGCTATGTTTCTAGAATGTTCTTGGAGGGCACTCCCCAGGGTGGCTGCTCTGCCTGTCCATTTGCCACACCAAGGTCCATCAGGGCATGAGGGCCCTCTGGGACTGCTCACCCTGACAGGGTCTGCCTGGCTCTAGGAACGGCAGCGCATGTCTGACCGTCTGGAGGACACCAGCCTTCGCCTCAAGGATGAGATGGACCTTTATAAGCGCTTGATGGACAAGCTGAGGCAGAACCGCCTTGACTTCCAGAAGGAGCGGGAGGCGACCCAGGAGGTAAGTGTCGGGCCGGGGGCCCCCAGGGCTCCCCTCAGTGTCATTGCTGTTGTCAACAGGCTTCTCTCCCTCACAGCTCATTGAGGACTTGCGGAGGGAGCTGGAACACCTGCAGATGTACAAGCTGGACTGTGAGCGGCCCGGTAGGGGCCGCAGCTCATCTGGCCTTGGCGAGTTCAACGCCAGAGCCCGCGAGGTGGAACTTGAACATGAAGTCAAGCGTCTGAAGCAGGTAGGCCCTAGAGCCACTGTCCAGTGGCTTTGAAGAGGCTGCTGGGTCAGCCATGTAGGTCTCTGTTTAGAAGTTACAGAGAGGGAGCCATGGGCAGCAGCCCACCTCCTGCAGCCTCTCCTGTCTACTCTTCTCAGTCTGATTGCCAGGGTCCATCATCCCATCCCACACTTGGGCAAGTGGCTCACCTCTAGTTACAGCCAGTGAATGGCTCTTGGGCTCTTAGGTCCCTGTCGTGTCCTAGTAACCTTCCCCAAGCTGCAGATGCAGGCTTGATTGGGTTGGGGCCTCTGGCAAATAGGGCCTAAGGGTCTGCTTTTGAAAGTGTCCCATCACTGTTGTTTGCAGCGTGGGTTAAACATGGGGTCAGGAAGGGCCAATGGCTCAAGAAGGAAGTGAAACCCAAGCTATGGGCCAGAGCCTGGACATGGATCACACACCTGAACTCATTCACCTAGGCAGAAGTCCTAGTGGCCATCTCCTGAAGTACATCTAGCCCATCACCCACCCAGGAGGGGCTCCCAGGTCCCTGGGGTGAGCGGTAGGCAAGAAAGAATTGGAATGGGCACCTATGTTCACTGCCTTCAGTGTCCCCTTCCTTCAGGAGCAAGCATGCCCTGAAACAGCTCCCTCTAAGCAGGTTCCAGATCCTGGCTATAGGAGGAGCCAGGAAAACCAGCCCTCTTTCCTGCACAGAAAATTGAGAATAGCACCTCCCTCAGCCAGGTCCAGGACTGCAGGCTGAGCTGCTAGTGGGCAGTGCTCCCCTCAGGACCCAAGAGGGGAAAGACTCTGTCTTCCTGGTTCTCCCAAGCAGGGCTGCAATTCCTTTCTGAGGACTGTGGCATGCCACACCTGGCCCCGCAGAGGCCATGTCACCTGCAGGTCTCCTGGCCTAGCAGAGATACGTTGAAGGGGGAGGATACTGGTGGTCTGAGGACACGGATAGGAAGAAGTGGGTTCCAGAGGGTGGGCTCCTAATGCCTCCCAGAGCTCAGGTTCCTGTCGTTCTGTTGCCACAGGAGAATCACAAGCTGCGGGATCAGAACGATGACCTGAACGGGCAGATCCTAAGCCTCAGCCTCTATGAGGCAAAGAACCTTTTTGCCACCCAGACCAAAGCCCAGTCTCTGGCTGCAGAAATCGACACAGCATCCCGAGATGAGGTAACCTTATTCTTTCACTCCCTTGAATTCTCACATTGGTGACTGATCCCCATTTTGTGGGTCCTGTTCTAGCCCCCACCTGCTAGGACCCTGAAACCCAGGCTACACAGGATCCCAAAGGCAGGCCAAGACCTGGCCCTGGTAGTCCTCTACTTGCTGCTGTCACAGTAACTGCAGAGCTGAGCTGGAGGCAGTACAGGGGAGGAGCTTAGCCCTCTGTTCCTTGGGAGGTCTGGGTTCGAGTGGAGCTCAGATTAGAGACCCTCCTGGGACTTAACTCAGATGGTGGCCAGAGTTTCTTTTTCTCTTTTCTTTTCCTTTCTTTTCTTTTTTGTTTGTTTGTTTGTTTGTTTGTTTGTTTGTTTGAGACAGGGTTTCTCTGTGGCTTTGGAGGCTGTCCTGGAACTAGCTCTTGTAGACCAGGCTGATCCTGAACTCACAGATATCCACCTGCCTCTGCCTCCCGAGTACTGGCATTAAAGGCATGCGCCACCACCACCTGGCTGGTGGCCAGAGCTTCTTAAACATCTACTTTGCACACGTGTTTATTTGGTCTCTTAGCTGGCAGCTTCATAAACACTTCCCCTGTTAAACGTAGAAATAACCACATGGGATGGCAGTGGGGAAGGAGCCTGGCTCCCCTGAACCGAAGGCCATCTTTTCTCCCTGGAATACAAAAACACTCAGCTGCATTTGAATGTGAAACTGAGGTCCTGTGCACCTGAATCTTGCCTCCACCTGAGACTCAGAGCTAAGGGTCCACCTCTGGCCTCTAGGAGATCTGGGACAGCAGGTAACTCCATAGGGTTGGAGAAGCAGTTTGACTGCGCCTAAATGTCATGGCGAGAGCCTGAGTGAGGAAAGGCTGGCAGCCCCAAGCATCTTCTGGGCCCAGGGACTATGCACATTAGCCCTGACTATCAGTACATCTGGCCAGTGTTCCCAGGCTTTATCCACTCCCCAGGTCAATGAAATTGCCTTCAGGCTATCTGGGGCCCCTCTGTCATTGGTCACTGGCCACTGTAAGCCCAGCCTGGGCCCAGCTTCTGACCCACCTTTCTCATTCCCTTCAGCTAATGGAGGCCCTGAAGGAGCAGGAGGAGATCAACTTCCGACTGAGACAGTACATGGACAAGATTATCCTGGCTATACTGGACCACAACCCTTCCATCCTGGAGATCAAACACTGAGCCAGGGCTGGCTGCAGAGCGGCCATTGGACCTAGGACCTAGGGGCAGGCCTGCCTGAGGACAAAGATGCAGGCAGGACCCCACACTCACTCTGTAAATGTACCTCTGACCACCCTGTATGTATGTGCTAGTGGATGTGCGGGAGACCGCACACACAGGCAAGGAGTGAGCTTGGGGCCATGGCTGTGGGTGACAACCCATGATG